CAGCGCTTTGTTTGGACGAAAGCAAAGAGAGAGAGAGAGAGAGAGGGTTTTTTTTTTTTTTTTCTCGTCGGGTAGATTTATGTCGCTAATTACGGCGCATACGTAAAAGAAATGGGCGCGTAAGTGACAGGCTACGTGCCCGCTTCTCACTCAGGGGCTCCTCAAAGTCCGTCGTATTTATTTTCGATTCTTTTAATTTGGCGATTCTGCGGGGAGTTAGACGTGGAAGTGTGGAAGAGACAAGCCAGGCGCCCCCCGGGTCCCGATCCGAGTTTCAAACGGAGGCGCGGGGCTCAGGTTTGCAGAAGGGAAATTGACGTTTTTTTGTTTTGTTTTGATTTTTTTGACTCGAGGAGGACTTCGCTTGCCAATTTCAAAAGCGAAGACTGAAGTTAAATCGCGAAAAAAAAACACATCTCGGTTTTTGTTACCGTCTTCCACAGGTATTTTTAAATAATTACGCCTTATTTAAACACCAGTCGCTTGCTATTTTTGCTTTCTTACATCATGGATTTAATTAAAAAAAAGACTGGATTTATGTTTCGATCGCTTAAAAACTAAAACTAAAACTGCAAGCTTCCGATAATGACTTGGGTACAATCTGTTGCATTTACTTTCTACTTTTTAATAATACTTTTCCAGCTGTGTACTACTCAAATCATACTCTTATTGAAGTAAAAGTACTCTTACTTGAGTAAAAGTTGTGCTTTGTGACACAATCTGAAATGATTTGAACGTTTGTGTTTCTTGCAGCTCCTTCAGATGTGGTTTAGCTTTTCTAATTTTTGGCTCTGTCCTTTTGAAAATACAGAATTTTGTGATTTATTTAAAGTTTTCTTCTTCACATTACACCAACTTTAAATTATAAATCAAATACCAGATGTTATGTTCCAGTTTGAGTAGCACTTTTCTCAAATATTTTTTTAATTTAATCTTATTTGAGTGATTTCTTGGACCACTACTTTGTACTTCTACTTGAGTAATATTACTTCGAAGTAACGTTACTCTAGTAGTAGTACAGTTTAAGGCTACTTTTTCACATCTGTTTACGACGAAGTGAACACGATCGAGCTGAAACTGAAGCTATAAATAACTCTTCGTTCTTATTACGTTACGTTCACTTCAAATTATAAATCCGATGTTACGTCTTGAGTAATATTATTTTGAAGTAACGTTACACATACTCGAGTACTTTAAAGCTACTCTACCACCTCTTTTTTACAACTAAGTGAACATGATCAACCTGAAACTGCAACTTAATTCTTATTACGTTACATTAACTTCAAATTATAAATCTAATGTTACGTCTTTCAGCTGCTTTTACTCGAGTACTACTTTTAACAGATATTTTTAATTTACTCTTACTTGATTGATTTCTTGGACCACTACTTTGTACTTCTACTTGAGTAATATTATTTTGAAGTAACGTTACTTATTTTACGTGTGCACAACTTACAATTTACAAGTGAACATTATTAAACTGAAACTTTAACTGGACATTATAACTCAAATCTTATGAAATAGTAATATTTAATTTGTCAAATTTTTGTGTCAGTCTTTAAAATAAATAAATAAATAAATAAATAAATAAATAGTTCTTCACATTACATTAACTTCAAATTATGTTATGTCCTGACAGTTCAGCTCTTTCAGATACTTTTACATGAGTAGTACTTTTACCAAATACTTTTTTACTTCTACTTAGATCTTAGACCACTACTTTATACTTCTACTTGAGTAAGATTATTTTGAAGTAACATTACTCATACTTGTGTACAATTTCTAGCTACTACCACTGTTTATAACCGAACATTCCAACTCAATTCTTATGAAATACTTTCTAGTTTGTCTCATTTTTGTCTCTATCTTTGAAAAACTACATATACATATATTTTGTGACGTATTTAATGTTTTGTCCTTTAAACTGCATTAACTTCAAATTATAAATCAGATTATCAAATTACGTCCTTTTCCCAAATACGTTTTTACTCTTACTGGAGTAATTTCTTGGACCACTATTATTTTGAAGTAACTACTTGTACAATTTCTAGCTACTCTTCCACCTCTGTTTATAACAAAGTGAAAATTATAACTCAACGATTATAACTTAACAATATCCAAATCTTTCGGTACGATATT